AATACGATTTTAACATCATTCACCGTAAGGGTAAGGACAACATCGTACCTGATACATTATCGAGAGGTGTACCGATTATTGCAGAAGTGGAACATCGTCAAGATCCTTGGATATCGAGGATGATCGACCGAATCAAAAAGGATCCTCTCAAGTATCCATTATGATCTTATGATGGGAAACTACTGTACAAACGATGCAAGGACAAGTATCAGAATTTAGGGAATCCAGGTGATGAGTGGAAGATCGTTGTACCCAAGTCCCAACGAAGAGAAATTCTTCAGCAGCTCCATGACAGTCCTACTAGTGGTCACTGCGGTATATACAAGACTTATCGTCGAGTCACCCAACGATACTTTTGGCCCAAACTGAAAAGCGATGTCACTCATTACATAAAACAGTGCAAAATATGCCAAACTTATAAAGTCGAACTGAAACCACCCTCCGGATTAATGGCTGGTACGCAAGAGGTTTCAAAGCCCTGGGAGATTGTGTGCATTGATGTTGTTGGACCCCTGCCAAGATCGAAGTCAGGCCATTGTTACATACTGTCGATAATGGACAAATTCTCAAAATTTTGTCTCTTTTTCCCAATGCGATCAGCAACTTCTAAAATCATCTGTGAATTACTGGAGGACAACGTATTCTTACTGTTTGGCGCGCCTCGTAACGTTATATGCGATAATGGAAAACAGTTTACTGGCAACGAGTTCAAGAAGCTTGCTCAAGAATACAGTGTCAAGATATCGTACACAGCTTTATATCACCCTCAAGCCAATGCCTGCGAGCGGCAACATCGGACATTGAAAACCAGCTTCGTATGTAAAAGGAGACCACCGCAATTGGAAGCCGATGTTACAAACAGTTGCTTGCGCGATGCGTACCTCAGTAAGTGAAACCACTAAATTAACTCCTTATTTCCTAAACTTTGGACGTGAAATAATTCTAATGGCACGTATCATTCCAGCCCTGTAAATTTAGCACCCGATGTAGTCAACCCAAATAACGACCCCACTTCACGAGCCGCAATTCTTGCAAAGGTATACCAAGATGTTAAGAAGGAACTTATCAAATGTGCTGAACGAACTCGTAATGTCTACAATCTGCGTCGTAGAGATGTCCAATTTGATTTAGGCCAACAAGTCTGGCGAAGGAATTTTCCCATTTCTGATGCTGCCCGTTACTTTTCTTACAAACTGGCCCCTCGTTATATTGGCCCGTTTATAATTGCAAAGAAAGTGTCGCCGTGGACATACCAGCTCAAAGACGATAACAATCAGGACTGTGGGATATGGAATGTAAAAAGACCTGAAAATTACTTGTGATGAATATGAAGATGAAAGTTAATGTTGCTTCCTTTCCAGTTTTGTGTATGTCACTCTCTTAATAGTTTTCGTTCCTTTTTTTTGGTAGGGAGGTGTAAATAACAAAAAGGCGGGAAAATAAACGTAAAGCGGGAAAAATTAATACAATACACAAACGATAGAGGACGCTACAGAGGAAACCAAAGAAGCGACACAAAACGTAGAAAGCAGGTGAAAGATAAATGAGCAGAAAATCATAAGGAAAAGATTAAAGAGCCAAAAAAAATAGGACGAGGGTAAAAACGGCATCACAGATACAAAAAAAATACATACGGCGAATTCCAAACGTAACTTACAGTCCTAAAAGAAATAAAATGAATACTATAGAATGGTACGCCACTGGTATACAACCACCAATGAAACCCAAACAAAAATCCCTAATTCTAAAACTAAATATAAATCCTAACCTAAAATAAAATCAAAATAAAACTTATAAAGGGGTTTCGAAGGCGACAAAACTAACGACAAACTGAACGAAAAAAAAGGAACGTAACATCGTATAATTGCTAAGCAACAGATTTTCAATACCTAAACAACTCAAATTTACTCAGTAAAATTCAAACCTCTTGAGCAAGTAAAATTGTTAGGCAACCAAAATAGTTATTTACATAATAAGTCATGAAAGTGGTCGTTTACATGACGCGGAGGCTTATTGAAAAGTACGAGGACGCGCAGCGTCCGAGTATCTCTTTAATGCCTCCAAGTTAGGTGGACTCACTTTCATGACGTATTATATATAAAATTTTACCTGAAACCGCAACATGTAGATAACTTTTCCAAATTAAATTATTCATATGTGTGAAATTTTGATACCTAATCACGCATGTCAAAATCACTTTATTTAATTGTTTCCATAGATATTTCAAAATAATTAAAACAATCAGTGTCATTTTTAATGCAGTTTGCAGTTTATGCTTTGTACTTTTCCACTATACAGTCTTTATAACTAGGTACAAAAGCAGGTATCAGTGAAGAAGAGTACCTACGCGAGACGTTGTTATAATGTAGCCGAAGCTGCGGCCGCCGTAGTGCAATATTCGCTCCCCACAAAGTCAAGAAAGAGGTACGAAAAGGTGTACAAACCTTTTAATGACTGGCGCAAAACTAAAGGAATAATTACTTCCATACATATTCCATTAATTGTTAGTAATTAAAAAACCATTCTCTTTTGTGTAGGTATATATTAATAACATGCATTATAATTATCCAATCGTTGATTGACTAACTTGTTCAATGAACGATATAATTGTTATTTTGCATGTACTAGGACTGTAATGGGAGTCAGGCAAAAATATTACAGTACTAGTCAGGTAAAGGTCAACTTTCTAATGTCAAAATAGCCCTGAAATTTAGATTTTCTTGACGGTTTCAGGTAAACAATTTTCTCCTCGTCTCCAGTGCCGTTACGGGAGTGATTACCTCTAACGAATCTTGCTTCCCTCCCTTTGTAGTGCCTGGAGCAGTAGTCCATTTCCGGGCCTTGATGCCTCCTCTGTAGCTGCGGAAGCTATCGAGGCATGCGGGTGGAGACGAGCCGTCTTGTTGCGTTGAGACCAGAGGTGGACTGGGTCAAGCATAGAGTGACCCAGTGACCCGGTGGACCAGTTTAGTTTTTCTGCCCAGTGACCGGTGGACCCAGTGACCGCGTGACCCAGCTTTGACCCGGTGACCCAGCTTGACCAGTGACCAGCTTTGACCCGGTGACCCAAACTTGCCCGTTTTGAACCCCCAGTGACCCAGCTTGGACCGGTGACCCAGCTTGACCGTGTTGACCCAGTTTGACCCGGTGACCCAACTTTACCCAGTGACCCATCTTGACCAGCTTTACTACAGTGACACCGTCTTGACCCGGTGGCCCAGTAGTAATTAAATTCATTGTTAGGTATCATCCAAAACAATTTCAGTAACTTTTAATTTAAAAAAAAACTTCCTCAATAATATTCGCAACAAGCACGTAGCCCAATTTCATTCAAGAGAACTAATACCTAAAAAATCAAATGCATTTGTTTATAGTTTGTAGTCAAGTAGTCAATGAAAGTATTTAGAGAAAAGATTTATTTGCATTAAGCTAACTAGTAGAAAAAAAATTAAATGTGAATGACACACCTGTAAGCAAACTGGTAAGCCCTGAAGCAAAAAATAACATTATTCTAATACAATTCGGGACATGGAAAAGTTTTTACGCAGTATTAAAGCAAACATCACAGAAATGACAGTTGTCAAGCAATCGAGTATTATTTTCAACAAACCAGCATTTCATTTATTGCATAATCTGTACACTTGAACGAGGGCACTGACTTAACTGCGTTATTCAATCAAACTAGGTGACTGGGTCGAATTGGGTCCCGGGTGAAATTGCGTCGCTGGGTCAAACTGGGTCAACTGGGTCCTGGGTCAAACTGGGTCACTGGGTCAAACTGGGTCACTGGGTCACTGGGTCAACTGGGTCACTGGGTCAAACTGGGTCACTGGGTCTAACTGAAAAGAGTATGACGTGACCCAGCGACCCAGTGACCCAGTTTAATTTAGTGACCCAGGTGACCCAGTTGACCCAGTCGTTGAGACTGAGACTGTATCGGCATTTGTACTCGGTAACTTGAAAGGCAGAGTTACGCGAATAGCGATCGTTTGAGAGTGCAGATCGTCTGCGCTAAAAAGTTACGCCTTCGAAATTAGCTTATTTAGCGTGAAAAAGTATTAATGGAAGAGGAGTCAAGCAGCGATGACTGTAGAGTACATGTATTTTGCTAGAATATACTTCACGAATACGAATTTTGAGTCAATGCAATTTCCATGTGATGGATACGAATTAGAGGTACCTATTGTATAAAAATTATTCAATATAACTATACTCAACCATCATGATGCATTTTTGAGTTTCATTATCGACGAAATCAACTAGTGATTTCCTATGTTGAGGGAGGTCCACCGAAATCAGATTTTTTGTAAGGAGTACAAGAAAGCTGGATTTGGTACCGGCAAGATCTAAATTGTTCGATTCGATTGAGTTAGTGGATGCAACCTATATTTTGATCAATTTTAAAGTAAACAGTAACTACTCGTTATAAAAGTTAAGAAAACAAGAAAACAGAGTTTGCTTGCAAGATTGGTACTTAACCATATTTGCAAAAAGTGACAACTGTGCTTTGTAAACTCCAAATCGTAGTTGCGGCACCATTTTAGTTGTAGTAATAACAGTTGTTTTTTTGGTTCATCGTTTTCAGAGTAAGTTTTGGTTGCATCAAGATATATTAAAGATGGTAGGATGACTCGCCGCCATTATGTAAGACAGAATGCGGCGCCAGTTAAAATCGCTCCCTAGATGTCGCCACCCATCCCAGTGTACTTCACAAAACTGTCAATTTATTCAAACACGTCATTTAAATTTGAATTAAACCATCAAATATGAGAAAGTGTTTGATTTGAGACCACAATACGCCCTTAACTCGTGATACATCTTTACTTCAAGTTCCTTCAGTATGTAATTGAAGCATTTCGACTTTTTTTTAGTCAAAATAATTTACCTACTTAGTGTAAATGCAATAATTACAATTCTTGTTTTGTAGATTGTCATAACGCGCAGCTTCTTAAAAATATGCGTAACTAGCAAAATTGGTCTAATTAAATTGTTGACGTTGTTTACAGAAAATTTATTTGTAAATATTTGTAAAAAATGTAACAGGCAGTTTCCCTGATAATAATATGGAAAAAGGGTCTATGTTTTAACGCATCTTTATTTTAAATTTCCATGGAAAGTAGGAGAGCGACAACTAAGTAATTGTACTCGGCATGAGACCCAAGGCAAGGAAGCTGTGCAGAAGTGTAGTGTAGTTGTGTTTCCCCACACATCGCTAGCATCGATATACAATACAATTCCACGTCGTTGCCTACGCAGTGATCTGTCATTCTTCTGAAGTCCGAAGTTGGTCGTTTTGCAGAGGCGTTAAATGGGAAGTTGACTAAGGTTAGGATAAGTCACATTTTCCTACTTCCGTTTTGTAGTTCAGCCTCCAGCACTGCCACACTCCTGGAACAGAAGTTGGTTAAAGTTATTGCACTAGTCCCCTTCTATCCAGCATTTAGATCTTGGGAGCTTCCGAGATTAAGTTATAAAATAACAAGGTAGGTTGAACAAGTCGGGTCCCCTACCTTCCATCTTAACAGTAATAATGTAGACTTTTGCCAGTTCCTTCAATCCCCATCTCAGCAGCCGAGAATCTCGCTAATCAAACGGGCAATAATGATTTTGTGTCAGAGGTTCTTACATCTCTCGGCATGATTGCTTACACCGTAGATTGTGTAGGTGAGGGTCATTTGATGCTTATCTTAATATAAGAAGGGCGGCTCCTAGTTTGTTCACATATGGTTTACATTGATCAATGACTTGTTGACTTCGCTTGATCCAGTACAAGCTCCGACAGCTAGGCGGGGTGAGAAGTCTGTAATGCAGGTATTGCGCTACTATTTACTGTGATAACGAGCATCCTTTTTAGTGGAGCCCCTCAATGCTCTGTAACTTTGAACTTTAGCAAAGTGAACAGTGCGATGTGCAAGTTTGCTTGCTTATACATCCGATTAGTACTTGTCTATTTTATTTACCGAAATTGTTTGCAACAATAACTAGGTATAACACACTGTAGATGCCAAACCACACCAAGTCGCTAAGTAAAAAATTTTTGTACATAACATCATAACCTAAAACAATTTTAATGACATTAAGTTGAAGTACACTGATCACCCTGGCGCCATCTATGGATTGAGTTTACCTAGCGCCGGATTTGGCGTCAAATTTTACAGGTATAAGCGCGCCTACCAGTCTCTATATATCTTGGGTTGCATTCTGCATATTAGGTGTAATTAGTTTAGTAGCCTTCGAAGTTCTGTTTTCATTTCATTTCCATTGCAGTATCATTGTTTAATTAAGTCCGAATCCGCAAACAATGTGGTCGGCCCTCGGTTTCAAATTTTCTTCATTTTCAATTTCTGCTTTTCCGCTTTCCTCGTTTACTGTTTGCATAATCTCTGTATTTACACACTTATTTTTGACGTTATCTTTTTTGTTTTAACTGGGCGAGTTCGAGTTCTCAAATTTGTCAGGTTTTAATAAGGAATTAATTAATTAGGTCTAAATTTTACACAAAAGACACAACTTTCCTTTTCCTTCCAGACGTAAGTTCATTTGCATTACTTCCATACCTAATCTAATCGGTTTAAAGCAGGGCGAGAGAGACAATTGTCAAAACCTGCGATGTTTTATTATGTGAAGATAGTGTTTTGAGGAATAGGTACAAACACTAGTTTGAAGCTCAAAATAATCGTTAAAAACCTCACAAATATGCATTTATTCCTAAATTTTGAGCTCTTATTTGTCAAGTTGACGTGACTATTCAATTCATCTAACATTTGTCACATTTCGACCAGTGGAATGTCGAGATTTCAAATTGTTGGGCCAATGGGAACGAATTATAGTGATAATTGCACGTGTGGTATTTCAGCGATAATTACACGTGTGGTATTTCAGCGACAATTCAATGCGATTATTCAATGACATTTGTCAAACTTCCACCAGTGAAATGACGCGAAATTTTGTCGTATTAACCGGAACATTCTTCTTAGTTTGTTAATCAATTTCGACAACCGACTTATCACCACATCTTTTAATTTAATCACTTATAACGAATTAGCTTGGAGCACAAAAGTTCGAATAGAATCAATAGCAAAATGAAAAACAACTTCCGTTAATTTATTTTGACGTTTATTGTTGTCATGGAAATACATTCGCGTGGGTATATATGCTTAATTTTTCGTTTGATTCATTGAATAGTCCTCCGAATACCATTCGTAGTCGAAGTATTTGTAGATTATTTTTGAGCTGCTGCTCCACTCATGCTAGTTACGCTTTTTAATACCACTCGCGCAAGCGCTCGTGGTATTAATCAGCGTAACTAGCATTCGTGACAGCACCTCAAAAATATTCGACAATACTTCGACTATAACTCTCGCCAGGAAAGATTGCCGGTCACAGCACACCTTGTGTCGATCTACAATCTATGTTTTTCTTAAGATGCGAGCGACTTCCGGAATAGGACCGTGCCAATGTTGAACGAAAAGTCATTTTGTTCAACACTGACACGATACTATCCCGGAAGTCGCTCACATCTTTAGAAAAACATACGATTGTAGACCGGGATCAAGTGTTCGGTGACCGGCAATCTTTCCTGGCGAGAGGTTTACTTATGGTATTATATATGAAAATTTTATTCAAGCTCAAAAATTGAAATTAGTATCGTTAAAAAGCTTAAAATAATAAAACATTCGCCGATTTGTGCCAGCTTGAGGGACGTCTCTTTTGGGGTTAAAATGAAGTTTACTTTTACGTGCATAGTTGTAGGGACGTACGGTACAAAAAGGTAGCTTAATTACTGTGTAACATATGCTAATGCAACAAATTACGTGTGATTTACCAGCGTAACCCGAAATTCAAACAAGCTTAAACCCACTGTGTAAGTTATTACTGTACATTTTGGAATTGAATGGAAGCATCTGCTACGTTCGTTACAAGTTTAAATTAATTTCCCGTGCTACATATGCACAAACTCTCGAACATCAATGAACGAATATCGTCAAAATTTGCATTTAGAAACTGCATCAACGAAGAGCCTCATATTTTATGACTAAGAAAATACGGAACTAAGGACACAAAAGCTCGAATCTAGTGACGTAAGAGCATTTCACCTAATTTGAACAAGCTGTCTGTTACACAAAAACGCGTTCGGAATGAAAATGTTGAAAGTGGTTTTCAATGGGTAGGTCGGAAATTGTTCCCTCGAATAGCATTTTGAGCGTTAGGTATTGTTACTGATTAAACCGCCGTCGCCACGTCGTAGTGTTTAATTGCCGTTTAAGTTAATTTACCGTCACAATTTAATTACTAAACTAATTGCGTATTATGCTTCATTAAATATTATATGAATCTACAAAAAGGGAGAGTATGTAAATGTGTTCTCCAGCTACGCTTCTTCTTTAGAAACTATATTCAAATAGGTACGTCGCATAGAATACAACATAAGAAATATAAAGGCTAAAAGTGAGTGATGAATATGTAAAGTACCTACACCTTTTATATTGTGTCGTCGTAAGGTTTTATTTTTGTGGTCTTTTATGCTTGAATTTGGTATACCTTTGGATAAAGATCACCATCCTAGAACGATCATTTTGTCGTTTGCTTATGAATTATCATGAGAATGTGCGCATTGCGCAAGTGTCTGACTTTTGTAGTGAAATGGTAGAGAAAAAGTCAAAGAAAAACCACACTGAACATCCAGAAAGGACGTAATGACAATAACGCATACACGAACGTCACTAAAACCTTGTGCATAAAATGCGCATTCTTATCATTTTATCACTTGGTTATTGCGTGACGCAGTTTATAATACCTACGTAAAACACAAAAATATAAATATTTATATTTTAAAGAATCTCCAGGCGATTAGCGAATGGTATTTAATTGTACAAAATAATCAATACAAGTACATTTCGTAAACCCGCGTTCTGGTAACTTATAGAATTATAGTGCTTGTGGGGAGTTGATCTTCAAAGGTAAACGGCTAGCTAGAGCATCGGCGTTACCTAGTTTGTTACCTGGAACAAACTCTAATTCATAGTCATAAGTGCTTAATAAAATTGTCCAACGTAACATTTTCACCGGTGTCAAGTTAGCCCCCCCCACTTTTTAAATTTGCAAAATATTTTTATGCCAAACGTTTGTTAGGTGTTTGTTGGCGTTTATTAGTTACATCAACGATCAACCAACAAACGTGAAAATGTAACTAACACCAACAAACGATTGAAATAATAATATTCTGAAAATTCCAAAAGTGGGGGACTAACTATGCGCACAAATTTTGAAATTTGAATAATTAAATAGCGGTCAACCAACAAACGTCAAAATGTAACCAACAAACGCCAACGACCAACAAACGATTGGCATAAAAATATTTTGAAAATTCAAAAAGTGGGGGCCTAACTTGACACCGGCAACATTCTCTGGGAAAGAACGTCTGGAATACTTTTATTAGGCCCGAAAATCCCGAATAGCGGTTTGTGGTTAGTTCTTATTACGACGTGTCTAGCAATAACACAGTTGTAAAATTTTTTAATCTCTTCTAATAACCCTTAAAGCTTCTCTATCAATTTGGGCAAAATGTCATTCCGTTGAAGAAAGTGTTCTCGAATGAAAAGCCATTGGCAATAGTACCCCCGATTCGTTGGGTTGAGCTAACACACAACTTACTCCGTAAGAACTTGTGTCACAAGGAAGAATTAATGGTTTTTTTTCATTATTGTGGCTTAAACCCGGTTCGGAAGCAGTCTGTAAAATCTAAAACGATCTACGATTTGAGATGTGCGAGGTGTGAAATGTACAGAAAGGCTGTCACCTTATCTGAACTCGAAAGACTTGATTGAAGCTTCACGAGCAGCATTGACAATACAGGAACTGAGAAAGGAGTTTGATAGCTACAGCAGGGAAAGCTCGGAGGTGTATTTGGGACTGCAAATGCACGGCCGTCCAAGAGTCAACTAACAAAAAATAATAGACCAAATAATAGCAGATTGAAAATAAACAAAACGCCCCATAAGAAAATAATTCACAGAAACGATGAAACTGACCATCAAAGCTCTACTCCAGGTCTTTGTATTTTTTGTAATACAGGATGTCAAAAACCGAGTGTGCACATTAGTGTTAACCAGGCTCACTCGCATCATGTTCTTTTGCTTCCTTTTTGACAGTCGGTTTCTATAATCATTGGCGTTAAAATTGTGGAAACGTTTTACGAAAATTGGCTTACAAAAAACTGCAGCCAATCGACCCGTTTTGACGTATATAACTCAAGATATCTTGAATGTTAATCAAATGACAAACTTTCTATTATTGGATTCCTAAAGAAACAAGGAATCTTTAGAGGACAGCCTCATCCCAAAATGACGGGAATATAATGGTTTATTTTATAGCACATGTTAAATTGACATTTTAATAGATTTGAATAAGTAGGCTAAGCCGTTCTTGAACCGTAAGGATATAGATAAAGTGAAACAAATGATTGTGCATTCTAATAACATCTGTCATTTTTATTTCAAATGCACGATATAAAATGACGTTCAGAACATATGAAAATTCTGTTTCTATAGAAACGATCGCGATGGCAGAACCTTAGCTCGCTATCTCTGATGTCTCTAAATTATATTTAGAACTGTCAGCAGCTTTGATTTATGATTTATATGGCTTCTGCTATAAAATAAAGTTTTGTATTATACACGACTATAAAGGGAAACTAACCTTCTCGTGAAAGTTAATTCACTCATTGGTTAAAATAACCCTTTCTCGTCTTGTATAATAAATAGCTATTATCGCGATGTTTGCGCCAGGCTGGTACGTTTTTCCATAAAGCTGCGTATACATTATCCGAACCGAACGTGTAATGTAACATGTAATGTAACAAATTCGTGTAGTTGGGACGGTACCCCGAGCACGAAGCAAGCAGGTTCGCAACGTGCTCGCCCGCTACACCAAAAGTCGGTTTTTGTGACGAACACAAAGAGATTCGCTCGCCCAGTTGAAACGTTTTTTAGTATTTCTCCGTGTTTGTAGCGTGCTTGAATCGATTGGAGCACAAAACGAATAGGTACGCAATTATGCGTTCGTGCTCGTTCTGTCAAAAGTGAACGAGCCATGAACGAGCATTACATTACATGTTCGGTTCGGATAATGTAGACGCATCTTTAAGCGCCTATGTTAAATTGGACGATTTTTAAATTGGTGTATCT